TTCTGGTCCAACATTTCGTTTTCTCCTTCCAAAGAAAAGAAAACCAAATCGAAATCTCTCACCGAACCATCAGATGATTCGACAAAATCTCCGGCGACCGGAGGAGGAAAACCGACCAACGGAGTAGCGAAACGACGAGGTTTAAAGCCGTCTGCACACGAGTTACACTACACGACGAACAGAGCTCAAGCAGAAGAAATGAAGAAGAGAACATATTTGCCGTACAGGCATGGACTCTTTGGTTGCTTAGGTTTCAGTTCTAAAGGATACAATGCACTTAACGGCTTAACCCGTAGCTTGAACACAGTCTCTTCCAGGTAACAAACATGTTAAGCATATTCTACAAATTCAAATCCTTTTTTTTTTTTTGTATATATTGATTTTGGGACCAAGAATAAGCATATTAAGTTATAATAAGAGATGATTGCACTGTGTAATTCTGTATAGAGAAGAAGAGTTTCATGGGCGAATCAGAATCTTTAAAGTAATGACTTTTATTACTCTCTTCTTCTACTGAATGAGAAGTTTAAGGTGAAAAAGTAATCAATCAATAATGGTGTGTTGGCTTTTGTTGTTACAGAGAGAGATGCAATAATGTTGGTAACTAGAGTTTTGAGTTTTATTCGTAGACATTTTGAAGTGGGGACTGCAGTGTTTTAATGCCATGTGTTTTTGTCTGGAGATAACATTTCCATGAGCTTTTTTTGTTGTTGTGACATTTCAAGCTATGGAAATCTTTAGCTTCTCTAATGAAATTAATTAACCAAAGCTATTTATGACTGTGTGAAGTGAACCACCCACTATGAATCTACTATCTGATACAAATAAGACTATCATTATTCCCAACTAGTCTGAGGTATGTCCATGTAATTCTTCACCTAACATTTCTCAAATCACATGTAAATAGGAATAAAATGGGAAAAATTACTAGTAATTTGTTATTTGTAGATATGCTTGTAAGTTGTAACATGTGAAATATGGGCTCTCATTGGAGTATGCAAGAAACAAACCCATTTTTGGAGACAGACAAAAAAGCATTTAAAAGTGGGACCTTTGCCCAAATAATACTATGTGGTATTTGATTGAACCTTACAGCAATCATAGAAAACTTGTGTTTGTTCTTTTCATAAGAATTTCACATATGTTTCTATCTCTTAAAACTTTTCTAGATGTTCTGATTTCACACATAATGATGATTGTCTCTTCTTTAGGATTTATCAAAACAAATCAACGGATCTAATACTAGCAATAACAATAAGTGATGTGTCTGTGTCAATTAGTATTACATTATTTTCTTAGCTGTGCTCATCTGTCTCACTTCTTCATGAAATTTCTGGTACGGTAGTTGGTTACCCAATCAATCATTCACAACTATCTTTAAAAATAACAAAGCAGACATGTTGCTAGAAATTTGTAGATCACATTATGGAATTTTTAAGAAGTGAAAAAAATAAAAGTGAGACGAAAAGTTTATGATTATCGTCGGTGGTTTACCAAAGACAAAAGAAACTTAGTACAAAAGAGTTTCAGAAACGAACCAGAAAGAAACAACCACAAATCTCGACAGACATCAAATCTCAAAACACCGATCCTACAAATCGTATCAGTTATATAAAGTCTATCGACTCCTATTTCAATTCCTTCAAACTTTGGCTTCTAAGAAGAAGCAACGAACGTGTTAAGGATATTTCTCTTGAGAGTCAACTCATCAGCTTTCGCCGGACTTATCGACTGCAATTAGTCACAAAACCAAAAGAACCAATCGAAAAAGTTAAGTCTTTATCGTTTTGCGAAAGCAAAGCAACAAGCAAAATATATATAGAGAGAAGAAAGTTATTGTAGACCTTGCCAAGGATACGTCCAAGCCGCTCAACTTCTTTGTTAGCATAATCCAAACCTTTTTCTATGTAGTTCTTTGCGAGCTTCGAGTAAAGCTTTCCGTACCTAAAAGAGACATCACAAAAGCTCAAGAAATAGAGAGACAACAAAAGAAAACTCTTCTATCATCCTGATGAAGCGTTCGTTACTACTACATACCTTGCGGTGGATCCCTTAAGATTATTAGCTTCCTCTTCGATGCGAGACAATACTGCCTTCTTCTCATCTTCACTGGCTGCAACTAACTCCTTTACCAACGCATCTAAGCTTTCAACCACACCAGCCTGTGAAAGAGAGATAAGTCAACATAAGCTTTAAACTTCAGAGGGAATTGGTGATTTTGCCAAAAAGACATGTTTTTACTGAACCTTTGAAGTAAGTTGTCCTTTACTGTCTCTGCTTGTCCCAACTTTCTCGTTGATGAAGCTTACAAAGTCATCTAAGTCCCTGCCACCGTCATAATCTTGACCGGCTTTGTTGTCCTTGGGGAAGAATTTCAATGTTGGGAATCCACTTACTCCATACCTGTGGAACAAAGAAAGGTAGTTTTTACATCCTTCCGTTTTACGAAATATACATGATTATACAGTAAAATCGGTAATTCAAAAATCATTGTCCAACTTACTTCTCGCCAAGGCTTTTGTGTGCATCAGCATCCAAATTGGCGATGACTACACCTTCTTCCTGCTTGAACACCGTCGCTACCTTTTCGTATGTCTGATCAATTTTTTACAAAGACATTAATAACGAAGTGAAAGAGCACTATCGATATTCAATTGTAGAGAAATATAGTTGAACTTACAGGAGCTAAGGACTTGCAGTGGCCACACCTGGAAAAATGCAAACTTTAAATTAGAAAAAAGCATAAAAGCAAAACCGTGACAGTGGAGAAAGAGATACTACCATGGCGCATAAAACTCAACCAAGACATCTTTGTTCTGATCCAAAACAATCTCTTCGAAATTATCAGGTGTTAACACAACTACATTTTGTGGAGCTGCAGCTAATTTCACGTTGGTACCTGAAAAGCATATTTGTTCAACAATAAGCAAGTTGTTTCTCGAATCATTGTTGTGAGTTTTACAAGAGGAAAATGAATTAAAACAAATTTCCAACCATATCTCCTAATGCAACATGAAAATGATCCCAAAAACTGGACTATCATCAACAAAGTTTACCTCCTTCCTTGTTCACATATTCAGCCAATGCTTCGGCGTTGCGTGGACCCTCATACCTGTCAATAAGAAAACATCATTCACAATCGACAAACAAAATCCAATCACTGATTTGCTCATGGAAAAATCTGTTAAAATGCTTACTTTACAGGTTCAAGAGATCCTTTAGGAAACCATTGAATAGTTGGATATCCACTAACACCAAATTTAGAGCAGACACTCTTATGCTCATCACAATCCACCTTCAACAACCACAAATACACACAAATTAACGAAAAAGAATCGATCATCTCTCAAACACTGGACCTACATACAAAATTTACAATAACACTGACCTTTGCAATTAACACTGACTTAGCTTTCTTGAAGCTTGCCCCAAGCTTTTCATACTCTGGAGCAAGTTTCTTGCAGTGTCCACACCTATAATCACACAGATTCAACAATCAGAAATCAGAAACATTTACAAACAAATCAAACCCATGAATCTAACCAAAATGAAGATCGCATCAGAATCCAAAACACGATTGAAAGAAAAGAAAGAATCGATCCATACCAAGGAGCGTAAAACTCGACAAGAGCTCCTTTATCTTTACCAATTTCCTTCTCGAAGCTATCGTCAGTCAAAACAACAACATCGTCTGCAATAGCTGAAACCAGAACCAACGCGAGTAAGACAAAACAAAACCAGATCTGAGATTTCGCCATTTTTTCTTCGATCTTAGAACTGTGCTCTGTTTATTAAATCGTTTGTTTTTTCCCTTAGAGAAGGAGATACAGAGAAAAAATAAATGTAATGACGTGGCGTGATATGGATCGTCGGTTTAATCACAGATTAATACGAACGGTGATCGAGAGTTTTAATTACGTGGCTTGATTACATGTCGGATTGTGAATGGTTTAGCTTCTCCACATCTTTCACGGAGAAGACAAGAGAAAAAGTCTTTCCAAAGTTTGGAAGAAAGACCCTGAAGTTTTAGATAATTTATCTATTATACTCCCTTACTTTAAATATTTGTAAATATGCACGACGTCGTATTAATAACAATACGATTATACGAGGCTGATTTGTTTGGGCCTTATGTGGGCTTTTTATTAAAAGTATCAAATTGAAATACGTGTGAAGTAAACACGCCAAGTAAATGTGTCATATCGGTGTGTACGAGAGAGGTCTCCATAAGCAAGGAGTGGGAATTAGCATGGCTCAAAAATTTATTCTAAAGAGATTCGGATATGTTTTTTTTTTTTTTGGGGTCAAATTCAGAAAATTAACTCATTGAGCCTGTTAGACGAAGTGTTGATAACAATTGACCATCACAACATTCATATTATATAAGTATTCCCTAATCGAATAGCTCTATAAACGATAAGAAACATAGCAACTATTCCTCGATCGACGAGCTCTACATTATTCATGTCTCTCCCGGCTAAAACTTTTCTCTCTCATCAATCACTAAATAAATTCAATCTACCATTTATCTTTTTTTTTTTTTTAACAACTAATTTTTTACAACATCCACCATTTATCTTTATACTTGGAATATTAGTGTTTCTTGATTAAATTTTGTTAGTTTTGGTTTCAAATGATGCCTATAATTTTGTATATAAATTAAATCAGTATAACTATTTTTCTTTTTAAGAAAATTGTTTGTGTTTTAGAATTTAGTATTTTGTCAAAATTTTGGGTACTTTGAGCTCAATTTCTTTATAAATGAGTGTTTTATGTTTTAATCTTCACATTATTTTTTGTTGATTGTAGTTACATCTTTGATTTAATCCTCTTTTTCATGGATATGTTTCAAAATTTAAAGAGAAATTTCAAAAAATGCCACTTTTCAAGTGTCACTTTACAAAAATGCCACACTTTTGAAATCTTTACAAAAATGCCACACTTTTGAAATTATTTTTTCTTTATATCATTTATGTTTGGGTTAATTATGTTCTANTANGGTTTAGTTATGAGGGTTTAGNGNGTTTTANGGGTCAAAANATTTTTTAGGGTTNANAANTTTAAGATATANGCTTTATAAATCTATAATTAGTGACATTTTTGCAAATGGGCACCCCTAAGTGGTATTTTTGCAAATCTGTACACAAAAAGTGGCATTTTTGTAATTGTCCCAAATTTAAATTGCATTTTAACGAGTTAATGATGTTCAAATAATACTAAAAGCATAATCATTTAAATTACTTTTGAAGTATTCATAATAAAATAATTAACGAGTCTCACTTTGATATTATTTATATGGGACAATTGCAAAAATATCATTTTTACTGTGTGTTTTTATAAAAATGCTACTATGGGTTATTTATTTGTAAAAATGCTGTTAAATTTAATACCAATTACAATTTCAAAAACAAAAAGTTAAAATAGTTTTTTTTAAAACAAAAATTTACTACCAATCACTAACGTTTTTAAAAAAAAAATTGTTACACATCGGGACATAATATTAAAAAAAAAAAAAGAGACAAGAAGAAAACGTACATGTCCTCACGTGGGAATTCCGAAGACTATGGAACCAATTAATGCGTAAGATCACCATTGGTGATATCAGTTGGGTGTCTTTAAATAAACAAATATTAAAAATACATTCTCTTTTTTTTTACTCAACTTTATACTCTTTTTTTTCATCATTTTACTCAACTTTTATTAATTTTATATTTAAACACATCTCAACTTTAAGAAACCCTCTCTCTAAAAGTGTCTTCCTATTCAACCTAAATAAATTCTCTCTAAAAAAAATACCCACTATCTCCTCTTTTTACTCAAATTTTATTAATTTTATATTTCAACATTCTCATTATTTCAACTAAAAACACTCTTTTTTTCTTTTACTCAAATTTTAATAATTTTATATTTAAAGACACTCACAAAAGTTTACCATTACTGATGCTCTAAGTAGTTACCCAAAAACAAATCTCTAGTCCCTTTATGTTATTGAGTTTTGATATTTTTTTTGCCAATTCATGCATGCTAATTACTAGTTAGAAATTGTTTAAAATGTTTTTCTTACGGAAAAATGTTTTTTTTTGAAGAAATACCATTTTGAAATGTTAGTTTTCAAATGCCATTTTTTAAAAATCTTTACAAAAATATCAAAATTTTAAAATTATTTATTCAATATATCATTTTTTGTTTGAGTTAATTAAGTTGTATTATAATTTAGTTTTGAAGATTTAGGATTTGCTAGGGATAAAAAAATTTAGGGTTTAAAATTTTAAGATTTAAAAACTCTTAATTAGCAATATTGTTTTAAATGTACAACCTATAATAACATTTTTGCAATTATCCAAAAAAATTTGGAGTTTATTTTTAGATCGAGAAAAAATATATAGTAAAGTTATAATATTATTTAAGTAACATGCATATACACTTGAGCATTATATACCAAACAAAGTTATCTAGGTTTAAAAGCTCGCCTATATAGATTATTTACTGCAAATTTACAGAATTAAATTAATTTCGTAACTCTATAATAAATAAGAAGGACAAGTAAGTTTAAGAAAAGAAAAAAGAAGGACAAGATTCTGTTATTGTAATAACATCCATAATAATTAAATATCTACTCGTTCGTAATTTCGTACAAAGAAGTTGGAACACTCTTCATTAAGATTCGATCTTGTCACGTGACAATAATCACTTGAATGACACGTGATAGTTCGCAGATGTGATGCAGCTTTATGATGGTCATGTAGAAAAATAGCTG